GAGCAGAGACAGAGGACGCCAAAGATAAATTGCGAACTGTAATGGCTATTAAAAAAAAATCCAGGGAATTCTAGAATATAATTGGTGGAAAGCTTTTAATCTCGTGCCGTCAAAACTGGTCGTGAAAGTGTGACATTATCAGGAATGTTTTGTTTTTTTTGTGTTTTTAGCTCATCTGACATAGTCAGATGCAGCTTGTAGAATCGCATGAGCGTGCGTCCGTCCGTGCATCCGTCAACAGTTGGGCACAAATCTAAACGGCTCAACGTACGGTCACGATATTCGGGGACGTGGGGGGTAATCCGAAAACGAGTTGGGATGTCGAAGCTGGGGGTCAAAGGTCAAAGGTCAAGAGGTGTAAAAGAAGGGAACATTCCCTCCTTAACACTTACGTGCGTGTGCGCTTTTCTTTGTCTCTTTGTGCAAGATGGACACACTGTGTGTGAGCATATATTAAAGTTTATTCAGTTTACCACACAAGTTGGATTCTTTTTTTATTCATATACATCAAACCTATAATTCAACATTACAGTGGTATTCAAAATGCATGGCAGGCATTGTCCTGTACATATACGAGAGATCGTAACGAGTAATGTTCAATGCGTTGTACTTGTGTCCATGAGATTGGGGTAATCATTTTATCACGTTTGTTTGCCTTTACTGTGTACAGAAGTAGATGCTGGCGTCGGTAAGTTTTGCTGGCATGCATCACCCCCCGTAGAACCGTTGTCATTATAGACGCGTTTGCCCGCTGATTTAGAATTCGTTGTTGCTTAATTTACAGGAGTTGATCTACCGGTCGGTTTGGACCGCCAACCTGTTACTGTGCATGTCACCATTCCCATTCTGTTAATTGCATGGTTGAAGTTATTCAGCTGCTGCCGTTACTCAATTCATCCTTGAGTTTTGTTAGCTGCATGGTACCGCTGATACTGATACCTTCATTATCACGAAAGACGTGCAGAATTTTCTAGCCATGGAAATGTTTTCCTTACTGTCTTCTGATTTCTGTTTTCGTTCCTGTTTATTGCATGAACATGCATTTGTTCACTTCAAACTGTATATATATTTATAGCAGTCAGTGTGATTATTAATACATTTTATACATGCGTGTTTAAAGAGTTAACCAAGGCAGCTACTAGCGACTCTTGCGCACTCTTGCTCCCTCGGCGATGCGGTGTGGCTCGCTAGTTACTAGTAGCTGCCTTTTGTTTCAAGTTAGGCGGTTTATACATTCGGTTTGCTGGCAACAGAATGGATAATTGTGTCGTACGTTTTAGTCTGTATCTCCGGATTGCGGGTGTATACGAGGAAACGATTTCACACGATGCTAGGCGAATGTACTGTGTACGATTTGAGCTCAAGCTGGTTGAGTTACGCGTAGTAAATCGTAGGTATTCTAAGGCTAGTAAATGATGAATTTCCGTTGTTTATTGAAGTCACACTCCTTCCCTATTATCTACTTCTGATGTTAAAGGGATAGTAGACTCTAGGATTTTACTGCATACAACTGTACTTACTGTATAACAAATCGTCTATACCCACACGTATCTGCTACCAGATACCTAATTTGATTGTTATCATTAATTACACATCAACGCTACGAAATTTGAACGACACCATGACACCCGCGACCGTGCTGCCAACCCGAAAAAGTTGCGTATTTGACCATTTATTTTGCACGTTACAGACCGAGGGCTAATCACAAAAATGCAATTATATTTATACCTAAATGCTATTTAACCGAACGATATTCATTTTAGGGCAAATTTATCCATATTATAACTGAAACTATATGTCGTTTATAAGATATTACAATCCTTTTGCTTTTAAATTAATAAATAAGAAACCCCCTCGGTCTGTAGCCCTTGGCTGAAAGTGGTTTTGCGCAACTTATTAGATCGTGCGCTTTGAGTGGCGCCACCGTCGTTGCAATTAAACTGTAGTCGTTAGTTTTAAAACATTTTTTAATAATACTAATGGTGATTGAACCATGAAACTTTTTATGCAGCGTAATTTTAACCAAAATTAACTGAAAATAACCCTAGAACCTAGAGTAAACGATCCATTTAAGTGAATGGCATTTTTGTAAACAAACCAGTAAGGGCTGCTTAGAATGGCGTGTATTGCTGCATCGTGCTATCACTCGTGACATCCAGTCACCATTGTGATGTGCAAAAGGAAAAACGTATTAGCTTCAGTATTCTTGCGACAGGGTCTGTAGTGGGGAGATGAAACTAGCTGTACATTGCAGCCGACTCCTGGGTTCGTTGGAGGTTTTCCATCATTGTCGTGTTTAATCGCGTGTGTATCCATCGTTTCTTTCATAACTTTTAGCAATTGTTTTTCCTTTTTGGTTTTTGCAGTAAGACCAAGTGGTTGGATACTTGTGCGTATACGATTCAGCGGCAGTACCAGCGGCCTCGTCCTAGTACTGCGCTACGCCACCAGGAGGCTCTTACATGTTTATGTAAATTCAACATCCCGTAATATAAAGGAAAAAAACATGTATTCCATTTGTGTGTTTGTTTTTATGCAATAGTCTAGTAGTACGTAATAATGCAGGATCAGTAGCGCTGCCCTCAATTTATACAGTGGATCTATTCAGCATATTATATACAAAACATTCCTTTACTCTTACACCTGATTGTCATTGTGATATACAACCTAGGACTATACTGCTTGCTATATTATAATATTACCCTGATGGCAAGTATGTAGCTGTCACCTCAACTACACAAATACTGGAAACACGAAATCGGCACTTATTATATAGTCTATATGAATTTAAGTACCCAACGAAACGTACCGGTTGAATAAAATTACCACATCGTGACTGACACATGGTTGGTTACATTGCAGGTAGTGCACAAATAAATATTAGCACAATTATAAGTAACACGTGCAAACGTTAGAGAAACATACAAGAATATATCAACTGGCAAAATCTTGAAATAATTTACAATTAATTACACCACGCATCGTCAAACAAGAGCACTCTGTTCATTAACGGCAAGCCTTGATAAGAAATCACATCCATTATAACTGTTTTTCCCTATTTTCATGATTATGGCAATTCACTGATTTTTAACCAAAATGATCTCAATAGCTAAAACAGCAATAGAAGCAAGGCACTGAAAATTTATTACAAAATGCATCAGCTGATGTAAAGTTTTGATCCAAGAACCTTGCACGCAGAATGATAAATCTATCCTAGAGTCGGTCGGTGGGACTGAATTTTTACATGAGTGCGCAAAAGGAACAACCCAAAACGCAAGGCTGTCACCTCATAATGCAAAGGCAGCATCGGCAGCTGTTGAAGTTGACGTATCCACCACGTACCAGTCTGACAGCCCGCGAGGCATGCCCCCTGGTGGCTGCCGCAGAGCTTGCCGAGGCATGCCCCCTGGTGGCTGCTGCAGAGCTTGCCGAGGCACGCCCACTGGTGGCTGCCGCAGAGCTTGCCGAGGCACGCCCCCTGGTGGCTGCTGCAGAGCTTGCCGAGGCACGCCCCCTGGTGGCTGCCACGAGCGGGCCGAGCCACGTACGAGTGTTGTGGTACACCGTGAGGCACGCCCCCTGGTGGCTGCCGCGGAGGGCGAGCCAGCGTCGACCTCACCATGCTGAGTGCCGTGTAGCTGCCCCCGAGAAATCGCAAACCGGTTAACACACCCGGCAGCGAATGGTGCATAGCTGACGCCCTTGCGCCGCCCTGCAGTGTGAGGGCAGTGCTGCGTGGTGCTGGTCGGTCGTGTCACAAGTCGTGGTTGCGAATGAAGCGGTTTCCCTCAGAGTGCCGGCCGTAGTAGACGTACTTGCTCTGTCCAAAGATGGCTGCAAACGGACGGCAATGTGAACAATCGTACGCCCGATGCTTGGGGTGCGCGCGCAGTAAGGTATTTTTTCGACCAAGCTCTGGCCTGACAGGCAGCGACAGTTCACAATGACAGCTTGCATTACAACTAGCACAATATGATGATAAAAGTGATTGCAAAACAGCAAAAGCATGATTAGTTTTGCATCTGCGTTTCGCCCGACAACACCTGCATAGTGCACATGCATTTGTCTATGACATATAATGAATGTAGAGTTGCTACCATAGTGGTCGTTGTTGCGTGTTTGCGATGGCAAAGGCGTTAGTTTCGAAGCGCTTTCGGGACTGCTGCCACTATCTGCGTCGACCTCCTGGAATGATAGAATACACAGCAAGTTTTCGTCAGCTCGATTGGCATGAACGGTGGGTGACCAAGTGCAAGTGATTTCTGACGCAGTAACTTTCAGATCCACACGTTTGAATGTTTGAAAATCCACAAGAACGTAAATTTGGATGGTGCACTGCCTAATGAGTAATGTAATGAGACCATAATGGTGTGGAAACGCACAATAAGTACTGCAAACAAATATATGCTTGTTATCACAATTACGGTTGTTAAAACTTGTCAGTAGGTCATTATATTTGTTTTTATCTCAAAATGTAAATACTTTTAATATAAGTACCTCGTTAGGCCAGTATCTTATCACCTTCGTGTACACGCCACGCTTCAAAGCCTCCTCCAGTTCCCCTTTAGACACTGGCTTGAAGTCGAGAAATTTCAGCTTTGGAAGTTTGTATATGACAAAGTACCTGAAGCATGAATAGAATAGACAGCTGGGTCACCCCACACAGTACTTCACGAAATCTGTAGACAGCGATTGTTTTGGCTGCAGTCTATGGCAGAGACTTGTGAGATAACTGACCAATCCATCTGAGCGGGATGACCGTGAAAAACGCAAATCGATCATCACTGTTATCGAAATGACTCATGACTGATAATGGTCAATTTTACTACTACATGTTTATGAACTAGACTCAAGCTGAACCAAACATATAATAAAACTTGACAAATTTTTCAGCTAAAGCCAAAATTGATGACAACTGCTTTTGTTAACAAATGCTTGAATATTTTCATGCAGAATTGATGGGATAATATTAAAATTTATCCAGTCTGCGAATGACACGATTATACTATGTGTAAGTAAATGGGTTATACCACAACTTCAAGAGGCTGGCATTAAAGGTCAAATAGAATCGATCTTCAAAAAATCATGATCAGAAATTAATTATGAAAGCAAAATAATCACGTGGACGGAATAGATCATCACGCACGCCACTACCACAACACCACCCTTTAGGTATTGCCGTTGGGTCGGTCATGCGCTACCAGTTTACCTGCCATTCATGCATGCATGCTAAACTGTTGCCTTTGAAGTGCTTCATTGCTAAGCATCAGCTTTTAGAACGACCTATCATAACAATGATTGGCTAGAGCTGACTGTCAATCACTCCAGGTGGACAGGTAACTTCTAAAATGAGCACAAATACTACACTGGAGGCCATAATAAAAATATTGTTTGTTTGCCCTCACCCGACCGACCCGCCAAAAAGGGGCCAACTCCAAAAATTTTTATTGATCTTTCCCATTTTTTTTTTTTACAAATTGTACCACTACATTATATAAATCTGTAAGCAATACATTATATGTACCAAGCAAAACAAAGATTCAACATAAAAGGTATCTCCTCACAAGCACGTCCGAGCATGTAGACACCATGCTGAATTTGTAAAAATGCCCTTTTCAGCCTGGGTCGGGTGAGGGCAAACTTTTTTGAAATTGTGGCCTGAATGACTAAATTTGAACAAAAGTGCAATGTTTCTGTTAATACTACCTGTATCTTTGGTAGTCTTCCTCATCTGCATCGACCGATGACAACTGATTAGGGCAAGCTGCATTCCCAAGCAAACTCAAGTAGGACAGTGACGGAAGTCTATGAGCTACTTTATCCAGGAAACTCTCCAAGTCTGATATGTGTACAACTGAATCAAGGCATATGACGTACATCACACACCATGCTTCGCTGAATCAGCCGGTTTGCTTACCTACCAACCCATGCTGGAAATTCTGGGTCCACTTATTGCAAGAAAATTTATATCCGGGCATCAGGCGTGTTGCCACCGGCTTTAGAGAGGAACCCCCAGATTTCTGATGTCCCCAAAACAGCAGGTGTAAGCCTAAACTATGAAAGGATATCTGATTTTTGTTGAGCGTCAACGTGGTGAGCCGTGGTAAAGGAGGGACATTCAAGGAATCTCCTATGCAGTTGCTGTCTAGTATCAATTCTTGCAGACTAGGAAATTGGGTGTTCAACTTGCCTACATCACTGAAATAAACAGTTGGAAAATTAATTGACTTTTTATTTATGTAAATGGAGATAGTGACATTTTTTGTACAGTATATAAATACACACACATGCATGTGTGTATATATATATATATATTCAAAGCCCAAAGTCTACCTGATGAGATTGTGTCCAAGGTCAAGCTGGAGGACTCTATGTCCATACAGTTCTGCTAGCTCTTGTGGGATTTCTTCACAGTTCTGTCCTATGTAGCTTAGCTGTGAAGTAGATAAACTACATTAGTGGGTTGTATGTATACAGGCAATAAGAANCAATTCTCTACTTAATTCTTCCTGTATAGCCTGTACCTCTGTCCCTGTAACTACTAAGGCCGAATCGTCAGCATATAATAAAAGCTTGACGTTAACTGCCTTTGCCATGTCATTAATATAAATCAGAAATAACAGAGGACCCAAAATCGAGCCTTGTGGTACTCCACGTGCAATAGGGTCCTTATTAGAGAAGGTACCTCCTACATCAGTTATTTGGCTTCTACCAGAGAGATAAGCACCGAACCATTTAACAGTCATAATATCCATTCCGATAGTTTTTAGCTTGGCTAGTAGAATTTTATGGTCAACGGTATCAAACGCTTTTTGAAGATATAATAAAACCATACCAGTTAGATTTCCTTTGTTCGACTCATTACGAATAATATCAGTTAGATGGATTAAACTTGTGTCAGTTGAGAATTTTGATCTAAAGCCAGATTGGAACTCGTACAGTAACGAATTTTCTATTAAATATTTCTCTATTTATTTATAGGCTATTCGCTCCAAAACTTTGGACATGACACTTAAAATTGACACAGGCCTATAGTTTCCGTGTTCTGTTTTGCTCTTCTTTTTATGTATCGGAATGACCCTTGCTGCTTTCATGTCATCAGGGATTTTTCCTTGGATGAATGACATGTTGATTACATGTGTAAGAGCTGAGCAAATAACGTTTGATCCATCTTTTATAAATTTTGCAGGAATATTATCTAATCCAATAGCCTTACCCGTATGAAGAGGTACTTCAGCACCCGAAGTACCTCTTCCTCTCCCACCGTTGTAAAAGTAAATGAATTTTCTACTACGCCTTTGTCCCTATGATAATTTTGAGGACTAATCTCATCATGTACGTCCCTTCCTTTTGTGGTAGATCTTTCACCAAGTTTGAGGCCACACTTGTGAAATACTTATTAAAATTATTTGCAACAATTGCTTTGTCAAAACATATATTTTCTCCAATTTTTAGCCCCACCCCGCCCAAGTTACTGGTTCCCTTATTTTTCATCCCCATACTCTTTAAAGTCTGCCATAATTTTTTAGGGTCATTTTTGTGGTCCTCAACTTTTTCCGTATAGTAATTAGCCTTTGCTTTCTTAATTTTATTTTGAACTTTGTTTCTAAGCAATTTAAAATCCTTGTATGTAATTTCATCTTTACTCCTCGTATAAAGCAGTAATTTTAATTTTAATTTTAATAATCTCTTTCCAGAATAAGCTCCCTAATCTCG